CCCCCTTACCGTATCTGCCCCCCAGCCCACTCCAGCAGCCAGCCCTTTGCAAAGCAACAGCGGAGTTAATCATTACAGGCCTGTCATAAAGGGCCAGGGTATGGAAAGTTCCGCTTCTGGCAGGGCCTGGGAAGAGGGTGTAATAAAGATTTACAGCTGCCGCCCACACCGTGCCCTGCCCTTGACACTGTTTACCCAAGAGGAGGCATCCGAGTGCAGCTTTATTTACCCCGCCCGCCCGCCATTGGGTGAGGGCTCAGGCACCCAAGAGCTGATTGGGTCCAGGAGAAAGAGCCCGAGAGCTGATTGGCTAGCAGCGAGAGAACTAAGTAACGGCGCAAGTGCTGATTGGCCGGGGAAGTCGGCGGTTAGGGAAGCAAAGAAAGGGGTTGAACCAATTTTCTGGCTTAGCGGGGGGGGGGGGTGCTGTGGGGATGGGGAGGGCACTGCAGGCTGGGGCCCCCCATAGGCGACACAAGGGCACAACTGCCTGGCCTCTCAGGGACCCTACACTGGTCAGGTGACCCATTTCACCCCCTCTCACCTGTGAGTCAGGCTCACACTGCTTGTTCCCACCCAAGACGGACGCCCCCCACCCTACCTCCATTCTGACAGCCCCGCCCAGGCATCCTCACCCCATCGCTCCGCTGGCCCTTCCCCACCACCTGAGGAGGCCTGCCAGGAGAAAGGCGGGGTGGGGGGACAAGGTTCAGGGGAACTGGGCGGTGTCCAGGTTGGGATTGGGCAAACACCGTGGCTGCCGGCCGAGTTCTGCTGTTGCTACAGTTTGATTCCCATGGGAATAGGGTGGAGCTGCAAACATTGCCCCCCTGCAAAGGAAGACGCTATAAAAACCTTTACCCAGAACCAGGCTCAGCTGTCAATTAAATACACGTCGCTGCTCCTCTGGGAGGCGGGGAAGGGAGAGCAAATACCACATGCCAACAGCCGGCCCCATGGCTCACACCCTCATGGCATTTATGGCTCCCAGGCCCCAGGCTTTGGTGTGACTTAGAGGTTGTTTCACACCCACCACCCACGGCTGCCCACGCACCAGGAACACAGGGTGCTCGGACACCCAATTGGAGAATTGCAGGCAGGGCCAGCCTTAGGATTTATGGGGCCCTATTCAGTGCTTTTAAACTAGGCAGGAAGAGGCAGGGGGTGGACATTAAGACCCAGGGATGCCCCAGATTTTCAGGTGCCCTATGCAGCGATGTATGCTGCATAGAAGCATAGAATCCTATGGATGGGGGAGACCTCAGGAGTCACTAAGTCCAACCCCCTGCTCAAAGTAGGACCAACCCCAACTCAATCATCCCAGCCAGGTTTTTGTCAAGCCGGGCCTTAAAAACCCTTAGGGATGGAGATTCTGATGCAAGAAAC